ACACACCCCTCTGGGTTTTCTTCTATTTTCTTTCTAGTTCTTGTTCTTCTTCTTGTTTATTTCCTCTTGTCTCCATGGGGAAGTGGAACAGAATTCTTCCTCTGTAAGCCATGCGTGTTGTAAGAGGCGACTAAAATGCCGGGAGCAAGGGGCTAGTAACCCCTTCTCCTGTATATATTACTAAATGTAAAAGGAGAAACTTTTGTTTTTCCTTTTGGGCTACCCCGCCTCAGTGGGATACGGCTGGTGTGTTGAAAGAAAGAAAGAAGAAATATAATAATAGCATTTACTTAGCCTAACAATATGCTTCCTTAACCTTTTGAACCATGAACAATCATAAAACACATGAAAACATCGTAAAATATTGTACTAGTGCCAGCCCTTTGGTAAATAAGGTGAGAAAGACTATAGAATTCAAGACAGAACTCGTAGCAGAATGCCAAAGTGGAGGAGGAAGAGAGAGGGGAGAATGTGCTTTCTTCAGTGATTCTGTAATATGTATGATACTAAAGCAGCATGAATCGATAAAGGCTATAGCGCCAGCCAGTGATAAAGTGTAGTATTAGCAGTGTAGCAAGTAAGCGATTAATTGATAGAAAAAGGACAACACGAACCTAACTCCTCCAATGTTGTTGGAGTTATATAGGGTGACTGACAACACCGCCGTCTCTAGTCTCTACTGCCTCCACCACCACTATGTACGGCTTATGTCTCAGTGGCCCTTATACACCCAACAACACTCGTGACATACTTAATGACGTATTTTCATTCTAGAGTATATGTCGTGTTATTAATGTTATTTATTATATCAGATGAATTGTGATAGAAAAATAAGCTGTAAAGTTGATGTTAGTGTCATATTGAAGGACTATCTTGCATATCTTCAGACAAACTCTGTCACTACCAAAATTCCTAACATATGTAATGACATATTTTAAATATGATTGGGCGGCTAGGAATTCGCGAATGTTCAAAGCCCGTGAAAGTGGAAAACGCAAATGTTAAGGGAGACCTGTATCATTTCAGTCTAGCACTTTAATTACTGAGAATATTCGAAGTCCTTTAACCTGCTTTCCCTGGAATGCAGGTGAGAAAGATGCATCATAATCTACATATGGAAAATCCAGGAGGGACTGGTTCCAAATCTGCACACAGAACTCACTCCCTGTGAAAGCAAAAGACTAGGCAAACAGTTCAGCATACAGGAGAACCCTGCTTATGTAGCAGGTTAGGTTCTGGGCTACCGCTGTAAAGTGAAAATCACTGTAAAGTGAATCGTAGCTTTTTTTCACTGTTTTGCCATGCAGTGGCATTATCAATACTGATTTGGTTTTTAATACTTGACGTGCTGTTGGAGTGTGAGCAAAGTAAATTCATGAAGGATTCAGGGAAACCGGCAGGCGGGACTTGAGTCCTGAGTTGGAAGTACGTGCCTGCACTCTAAGGAGGGGTAATGTGCAGTTTAAACTGTAGTGTTAAGCACCCTCTGCAAGACGTGATGGAGTGAATGATGTGAACGTTTTTCTTTTTCGGCCACCTGCCTTTGGAATCGGCAGTGTGATATTTAAAAAAAAAAAAATAATTAGAAGACGTGGAACTATATACAAAAGATGAGATGTAACAGTCCCATCAATCTTGGAGTTGTGTGTGAGCACCGTTTTGTGAAATTCTGGAGCACAGGCAAAGGAGGCATGGTGCTTCAGGCCTCAACAATCCAAGCTGAGGACTGATTACCTCATATTCTGAATATAGTTCTACTGCCTTCTAATTATGTGCTAGAATCTGTATTGATAAAGCCACTGGATGGTGAAACGAATACAATAAAAATACCCAGATGTTGCACACGTGTCTCAGTTTTCATCTTGTCTGTATTGTATACCATTCTTGTACACACTATCATGTATTAAGTGAGCAATGGAGCTAGGCCTAAAAATGTATATACAGTATACACATTACTTTAAAATATTTTCATCCTTAGCTTATAGTGAATGGTGAATATATTTATTATAGGAAATCTGAATAAATGAAGAGTGGGTATAATTGAAAACTGCTGCATGAGCAAAATGCTGTAAAGTGAAGTGCTGTAAACTGGGGCCCTCGTGTACCCCCAGTGAATAGCAGGGGTGCTACGAGTTCACCAAGAGAAAATACAATGTGTCTGGGGCCCAAAATTGTTCATCAGCCTCCCACCATGCATTATGGTAATTACCAATAGACCCCTGGCTGCCTTCAAGAGGGAACTGGACAGATACCTAGCATTAGTGCCCAGTAAGCCAAGCTGTGGTTCGTACATTGGATTGCATGTGGCTAGCAGTAACAGCCTGGTTGAAAAGTTCTTGATCCACCAGGAGACCTGGTTAAGGTCTGGGCAGCAGGGGCATTGACACTTGGAATGCTCTCCAGATAGGTGGTGTAGCATGAGCTGCAGCTTCCCTCAGCTCTCTTGAATAACTTTTGGTAACCCCTATACTGTATTCTAATCTTCACACTCCAAATCCTGTAATAGTAGATGGTATGGAAATACGAGTAATTGTAATTGATAGAAACACAAGCAGCAGTTGGAAACTTTACTTAGATCAAGTTTCACTTGTGCAGCAGGCTATTTCAAGTCTGATCAGGTTTGAAAAATTCTGCAGTGTAGGCAAAACTGTTTAAATAAGGTTTCCAGTTGCCACTTGTGCATTTTTATCAACTATAGTTTGTTGAAAAAAGAAAGAAGACTAAGAATTTTATCCTAAACACCTAGAATCAAAGCAGAGGCAGCTGAAGATGTTAAAGATGATATTCAGTGTGTAGAGCTATGAGATGGGGAAATGCACTCAACCTGTGATGTGGGCAGTTTGCATACTCAGATTGCTAGATAGCATTGTGGATGCGAGTTGATGATCTTGTATACAGGCCCTGGGCAAAGCCATGCATCTTGAGGCAGGAATTTGCTTACCAAAAAGAATCTTAATAATTGCAAACATGCAAGTGCACTCGCAGAAAGTGGGTGTAACACCACAAACAACCATTCATATTAAAGTGTATATATAAACAACCCTGTCACCCTTATGGAGAACTACCAATTTTTTTTTTTTTTTTATCACACTGGTCGATTCCCACCAAGGCAGGGTGGCCCGAAAAAGAAAAACTTTCACCATCATTCACTCCATCACTGTCTTGCCAGAAGGGTGCTTTACACTACAGTTTTTAAACTGCAACATTAACACCCCTCCTTCAGAGTGCAGGCACTGTACTTCCCATCTCCAGGACTCAAGTCCGGCCTGCCGGTTTCCCTGAACCCCTTCATAAATGTTACTTTGCTCACACTCCAACAGCACGTCAAGTATTAAAAACCATTTGTCTCCATTCACTCCTATCAAACACGCTCACGCATGCCTGCTGGAAGTCCAAGCCCCTCGCACACAAAACCTAATTTACCCCCTCCCTCCAACCTTTCCTAGGCCGACCCCAAACCCCCGCCTTCCTTCCACTACAGACTGATACACTCTTGAAGTTATTCTGTTTCGCTCCATTCTCTCCACATGTCCGAACCACCTCAACAACCCTTCCTCAGCCCTCTGGACAACAGTTTTGGTAATCCCGCACCTCCTCCTAACTTCCAAACTACGAATTCTCTTTCATTATATTCACAACCACACATTGCTCTCAGACATGACATCTCCACTGCCTCCAGCCTTCTCCTCGCTGCAACATTCATCACCCATGCTTCACACCCATATAAAAGCGTTGGTAAAACTATACTCTCATACATTCCCCTCTTTGCCTCCAAGGACAAAGTTCTTTGTCTCCACAGACTCCTAAGTGCACCACTCACCCTTTTCCCCTCATCAATTCTATGATCCACCTCATCATTCATAGACCCATCCGCTGACACGTCCACTCCCAAATATCTGAATACATTCACCTCCTCCATACTCTCTCCCTCCAATCTTTCATCACCTAATCTTTTTGTTATCCTCATAACCTTACTCTTTCCTGTATTCACTTTCAATTTTCTTCTTTTGCACACCCTACCAAATGTTAGGGTTTAATTAGCTATTTGGTCTAACTTTGGTGATATGATCATCTGGTAATGTTATTCTCTGTTCATACTGGTATGGGCCAAAATATACCTACACTTAAAATGCAGACATTTTAATATTTTTATAGTTTTTCATGGAACTCTCCACAGAAAATGTATTTTCATATTTCAAAATGATATAATACAGAGTATTCACAAATTTCCCAATTTTGTCTTCCCACATCCCCTCTTTTTCTTTTCCTATGAAGAATTTTTTTTTTTTTTTAACAAACTGGCCATATCCCACTGAGGCAGGGTGACCTAAAAAGAAAAGCGAAAGTTTCTTTTATTTAAATTTAGTAATGTATACAGGAAAAGAGATTACTAGCCCCTTGCTCCCAGAATTTTAGTTGCCTCTAACTACATGTATGGCTTACAGAGGAAGAATTCTCTTCCACTTCCTCATGGATTTTTTCTAAATCTGCTTTCTTTCAACAAACTGGCCATATCCCACTGAGGCAGGGTGACCCAAAAAGAAAAATGGAAGTTTCTCTTTAAATTTAGTAATTTATACAGGAAAAGGGGTTACTAGCCCCTTGCTTCCGGCATTTTAGTCGCCTAGTATGACGCGCATGGCTTACGGAGGAAGAATTCTGTTCCACATTCCCCATGGAGTTTTTTCTAAATACGAGTTTCAACTTGAAATCTTATTTCTTTTCCTGCCCTTTCAGGCTAAGTCAAGTATTTTTCCTTCTTATTTTTAGTATGATGAATTGTATTATTAATTTTGCATTCAGCCATTGTTTTGTTTCCAGAAGTTAACATGTAACCTGTAGCATATATAATATTCAGGAATATGACTCGTGCTTCCAAAAGTCTTTAAACACATTGAAGTATCTTTGTTGATTTATGTATAAAAAGCATTGATAATCACAAGGGTCTTCAAATTAAAAAATCTGTTTTACTTTTATTTTACCTGTCCTTCCTTATGCAGAATCTGGTGTCTGAGAGAGATGATGAGCGAGAACGTATGCGTAAGGAACTAGTAGCATCAAGGGAAAGGCTACACCATCTTCATATGAAGCAAAATTCTGTATCAAACCAAACCATGTCAGATAATACCCAAAGTCAAATTGCTACTGGCATTTCATCAATAGTATCAGCAGGTATAACCCTTCCCCCAACCACCTCACCACACACCTCCAGACCAAGTTCTTTTGTGTCAGTTACATCCTCTACAGCAGATCATTCTGACACACCAGATCATCATGATACAGATGAAGGTAATAAAAACAACATTGCACTTTCTGTAAAAGCTTCTTCAGTTTGTGTTACATTTAATTATTTAATTGTTGATTTAGTTTGTGAGCTCATCAGAAGTTTAGAGCTCTTAATATAATGATATATTATATATATATATATATATAATATATATATATAATATATAATATATATATAATATATAATATTAATATATATATATATAATATATATATATATATATATATATATATATAATATATATATATATATAAATATATATATATAATTATATATATATATAATATATATATATAATATACTATAATATATAATATAATATATAATATATAATATATAATATATATTATATATATATATATAATATATATATATAATATATAATACTTATATATATTATATATATAATATAATATATATATATATATATATAATATATATATATATAAATAATATTATATTTATTTATTGGCAGTTTGGAGGGATATGTTGTGTACTTTATAATGTGTATGCTTCTAGACTGTTGTATTCTGAGCACCTCTGCAAAAACAGTGATAATGTGCGAGTGTGGTGAAAGTGTTGAATGATGATGAAAGTATTTTCTTTTTGGGGATTTTCTTTCTTTTTTTGGGTCACCCTGCCTCAGTGGGAGACGGCCGACTTGTTGAAAAAAAAAAATATATATATATATATATATATAATAAATTTACATGTTTATTTGAGGAATTATATTATTCATAGATGGTGGAAGCGAAATAGCCAAGACCAACAGTTCACAGCCTGAGGAATGTGAAGATTCCAAAGAAGATTATGTTCCAGAGGTATGTTTAAAGATATTTGAATGTTACTTAATAGTGTTCTTTACATTTAACAATCATACAGCACATTAGTAGCCTTAAGAAATCATTAATAAGTATATATACACTGACCACCCTAACTACCCACCCACATAATCCTGAACTCTTTTTTATTTAGTACTTGGGTTCCTGTTGCTTATTCTGTCTTGCATCCTAAATCCTTTTAAGACATCCTTGTTTGTTTATTCATCCATCATAATGTACAGAGCTTAACAAAAATTTTTATTATTTGGGTTCCAGTGATATTAGTCAACAAAATCTTGCACGTTGGTAATTAAGTCACTAAAAAAATAGATTACTTTCTTTGTTTATCCATTCTTGGCTTGTGTTCAGTCATGTGCATTCTACTTGCTCACTCTATTGACAGTTCCCCAGACCTTAGAATTGCAGTAACTAACATTCCTTTTTTATGTGATCTACACTTCATCTGCATTATTTTGTCCAAAATAATTCAAATTTTCCTTATGGACAAGTTCACTCTTGGAATGCAGGGACCAAAATAGTTTATATCAGGCTCCACTTCTTGGGTCTGGAATCACTATCACAGCCATAAGAGAGTAATAATACTGTAATAATAATAATTTTCTCCATGGGGAAGTGGAACAGAATTTTTCCTCCATAAGCCATGCGTGTTGTAAGATGCGACTAAAATGCCAGGAGCAAGGGGCTAGTAACCTCTTCTCCTGTATATATCACTAAAGTTAAAAAGAGAAACTTTCATTTCACTTTTTGGGCCACCCTGCCTCGGTAGGATATGGCCAGTTTGTTGAAAAAAGACAAAGAAAAAGAAGAATTTGTTTTTCATTTGTGTTACAAAGATTAATTTACATTGTCAATTTCTTGGACGAAAAAGTCTGTTGTTATGCATTTTCAGCAGATATGGTGGAATACCTACTGTAATTGGTTGGATAGCTGTGGAGCACTTGGATTTTGTCATGAACCTGTGGAGACAGAGGTACAGTGTACTCTGTGCACTAGGTTAAACCCAGTTGGAAGTTAATGCTCTCTCGGGGAAATTTAAACTTTGAGAGGAAAGGGGCTGCCAGGCAGCCCATCCTTGTAATCAAGTCAGTACTTCATGGGTATTTGGTTTGTTTGTAGAAAGAAATCTAAATAGCTCACAGTGTATGTCACATGACACTTTTTCCCCTTTTCACTCACCTTACACCTTCCTCAGTGGCAGCTCGTCCCTAGCAGCTGCAGAGCTGCAGTCTCCCCAGATGCTCACTGCCAGACGTATGACTTCATCAACCTTACACTAAAATAATTTACAACTGACAAATATACAGTGGTCCCTCGTTTTTCGTAGTTAATCCGTTCCTGGAGTTCCTACTATTATTGAAATCTACGATTTTCGAATCAATTTTCCCCATAAGAAGTAATGTAAATACAATTAATCCGTTCATGACACCCAGAAGTATTAAAACAAAATTTTTTTTTTACATGAAATATAGATGTAGTACATAAACAATACAATGGGAAATGATGAATGAAACATTAACAGCATAACACTTACCTTTATTGGAGATTCTTCTTAGTGTATGGGAGACTGGAGGAGGAGAGAGATTGGATTGTTTACACTTTGGAAGGGGAATCCCCTTCCAGCAACACCTCAGGTAGCAATTGCTTTTCTGGAGTTGCTTCTCTTCTCTGTTTCTTAATGCCGCCAGGACCAGCTTGAGAGTCACTGGAGTCCTGTCTCGCAAAATAACTGTGGAGAGAGCTCTGTTTCTGGCGTCTCTTTAACACTTCCCTAAAATGGCCCAAGACTTTGTCACTGTACATGTTGCCAACATGGCTTGCAACAACCTTGTCAGGGTGATGTTTCTCCATAAATCTTTCCACTTGTGCCACTTTCATATTGTTCAATGATGTTTTTCTTAAATTCAATCGTATTTCTCACCTTCTTTACCACAGGCTTGGCACTAGGAGCTTTCTTTGGAGCCATGGTAGCTTATTTAATACTTGCAAGCACTAAAATGAGTGGAATATGATGAAATATTTTGTAGGAGCACGTGAGGGGACCTTTGCTCACTGGTAAACAATGCCAGACTGGCTGGGTAGGGAGGCCGCCCCGACTTACACCGTGTGTACGCGTCCTGGACGAACTACTATTCGCGAGTCAGCCTATGATTAGCGAGCCCATGTTTATATGAAAATATCCCTATGATTTCTGAAATCTATGATTCCCGAGAACTACGAAAAACGAGGGACCACTGTATTACAGGAAGAATCTGTTGTATGTTGTTTTCAATGTATTTATAAGCGAATTTTTTATTTTTTTGTTGAAACGAGATAAAAAATGATTAAAAATAGAAGTTTGATGTGGGATGAAAGTATAGGTATTACTGGCGCTACAAGCCACCAATGTAACCTTCCCTGTACTGTTTGACAGGTTACAGTGTTTTGTTTGTCCAGTATTGTCTCCAGAACCAACAGTCGTGAAGTATCACTTTCATAATTTGGAGATAATGGACAGTTGGCATTGTACACCCCCTCCCGACATTTCTCAATTAATTAGAGGGTTCACTGTAATTTAACGGCATTGCAGTATGTTATAATAGGTCTATTTTTATAAGTAGACAATATAAATGCATAAATTCAAGAATTCTTGTTTCAACAAACTGGCTGTATCCCACCAAGGCAGGGTGGCCCAAAAAGAAAAACAAAAGTCTCTCTTCTTTAAATTTAGTAATATATACAGGAGAAGGGGTTACTAGTCCCTTGCTCCCGGCATTTTAGTCACCTCTTACTACACGCATGGTTTACGGAGGAATAATTCTGTTCCACTTTCCCTTGGAGATAAGAGGAAATAAACAAGAACAAGAACTAGGAAGTAAATAGAAGAAAACCCAGAGAGGTTTGTATATATATGCTTGTATATGCATGTGAAGTGTGACCCAAGTGTAAGTAGAAGTAAAAGTAACAAGACATACCTGAAACCTTGCATGTTCATGAGACAGAAAAAAGGCACCCGCAATCCTACCATCATGTAAAACAATTAACAGGTTTCCGTTTCACACCCACTTGGCAGGACGATAAGATGAGCAACTATTGGAAGAAAGATGGGCTAGTGAGAGTATAGGTAGTGAGGTTGAAGAGGTATGGGATAAATTTAAGAATGTAGTGTTAGTGTGTTCAGCAGAAGTGTGTGGTTACAGAAAAGTGGATGTGGGAGAGAAGAAGAGCAATTGGTGGAATGATGAGGTAAAGAGAATAGTGAGAGGTTCTTACAAAGTAGAAGTGATACAAGGAGGGTGGAGTATATGGAGTGAAAGAGAGTGGGGAAGGAATGTGTAAGGAAAGCAAATGAGAGAGTAGGTGAGATTCTATCATCAGATTTTGCTGAGAATAAGAAAGTTTTGGAGTGAGATTAATAAGCTAAGAAAGCCTAGGGAACAAATGGATTTGACAGTTTAAAATAAGAAAGAAGAGTTATTAAATGGAGAGGCAGAAATATTGGGAAGATGGAGGGAATATTTTGAGAAACTGTTAAATGTTGATGAAGATAGGGAAGCTGTAATTTCATGCATTGGGCAGGGATGTATAACATCTTGTAGGAGTGAGGAAGAGCCAGTTGTGAGATTGGGAGAGGTGCATGAGGCAGTGCATAGAATGAAAAGGGGTAAAACAGCTGGGATTGATGGGATAAATGTAAAAAGCAAGTGGGGACATAGTTTTGGAATGGTTGGTGCTTTTCATTTAACCCTTAAACTGTCCAAATATTGATCTACGTTTGCACTGCTAGCACTCCGAACGTAGATCTATGTTTTATTTTGCATACTTTCAAATGTCAAAAAAAAAAAAAGTAGATCTATGTTCAGAGTGCTATCAGTGCAAACATAGATCCAAATTTGGAGAGTTTAAGGGTTAATAAATGTGTGGAAGAGGGGAAGGTACCTAGGGATTGGCAGAGAGCATGTATAGTTCCTTTGTATGAAGACAAAGGGGACAAAAGAGTGTAAAAATTATAGGGTAATAAGCCTGTTGAGTATACCTGGTAAAGTGTATACTATAGTTATTACTGAAAGAATTAAGAGTAAGACAGAGAGCAGGATTGCAGAAGAACTAGGAGGCTTTAGGAAGGGTAGGGTGTGTGTAGACCTAAGTGTTTACAGTGAAGCATATAAGTGAACAGTATTTAGGTAAGTGTAAAGAGGTTTTCATTGCATTTATGGGTTCAGAAGAGGCATATGATAGGGTGGATAGGAAAGCAATGTTGCAAATATATGGAATAGGTGGTAGGTTATTGAAAGCAATTAAGAGTAAATTTTTTATGAGGATAGTGAGGCTCAGGTTAGAGTATGTAAGAGAGAAGGAGATTATTGCCCAGTAAAAGTAGGCCTTAGACAAGGATGTGCGATGTCACCATGGTTGTTTGAAATGGGGTGGTAAGAGAAGTGAATGCACAGGTGTTGGCAAGAGGTGTGGGGTTAAAAGATTAAGAATCTAACAAAGTGCAAGTTGTCACAGTTGCTCTTTGCTGGTGACACTGTGCTTTTGGGAGATTCGGAAGAGAAGTTGCAGAGGTTGATGGGTGAGTTTGGTAGGGTATGTAAAAGAAGAAAATTAAAAGTGAATATAGGAAAGAGTAAGGCAATGAAGATAAAAATTAGGTGACAAAAGATTGGATATCAGATTGGAGGTAAATGTATTCAGATACTTGGGAGTGGATGTGTCAGCAGATGGGTCTATGAAGGATGAGGTGAATCATAGAATTGATGAGGGGAAAAGGGTGAGTGGTGCACTGAGGAGATAATGGAGTTATGGAGATAACATTATCCATAGAAGCAAAGAGGGAAATGTATGAGAACATAGTGGTACCAACACTCTTATATGTGTGTGAAGCATGGGTGGTGAATGTTGCAACAAGGAGAAGGCTGGAGGCAGTGGAGATGTCATGTCTGAGGGGAATGTGTGGTGTGAATATAATACAGGGAATTCGTAGTTTGGAAATTAGGAGGTGCGGGATTACCAAAACTATTATCCAGAGGGCTGAGGAAGGGTTTTTCGGACATGTAAGGAGGAGGGAACAAAATAGAATGACTTCAAGAGTGTATAAATCTGTAGTGGAGGGAAGGTGGGATAGGGGTCTGCCTAGGATAAGTTGAAGGGAGGGAGTAAAGGAGGTTTTGTGTGCGAGGGGCTTGGACTTCCAGCAAGCACGCATGAGTGTATTTGATGGGAGTGAATGGAGGCAAATGATTTTTAGGACTTGACGTGCTGTTGCAGTGTGAACAGGGTAACATGAAAGGATTCAGGGAAACCGGCAGGCCGGGCTTGAGTCCTGGAGATGGGAAGTACAGTGTCTGCACTCTGAAGGAGGGGTGTTATTGTTGCAATTTTATAACTGTAGTGTAAGCATGCCTCTGGCAAGACAGTGATGGAGTGAATGATGAAAGTTTTTCTTTTTTGGGGCCACCCTGCCTTGGTGGGAAGTGGCCGATGTGTTAATAAAAAAAAAAAAATCTTTTATATTAAATTGTATCCAATTATTTCACCTATGTTCTCACAAAGGCATCCTCCCTTCATTATTAATTAAAAATAATTTGTTTTGTCCTAATGCTATTAAACTATTTTCTCAAATCTTGCCTGTGATCTGTTTCAAGAGTTATTCCTACCCTTGCAGCCTGACTTGGAGATTTTCCTGTTTAACTAGGCTGTTGCTCTTGGCAACCTACTGGTTGCCAAGAGCAACATTTAATTTTACTATGTCTTTGTTCATCTCAATTCTCTTAATCTTTGCTAGATCTTCCATTACTTTGCTCATCAAAAGACCTCTCATGTATCATCCTTACCATTTAGCTATTATTGAAATACTATACATTTATGTTCAGATGTAAACTTTTTCTTTTTATACATTCTGCAGACGTTTGAGGATGCAGCGAGTGGATCTGAGGCAACAGAAATGAAGCCTGAAGAGGTGGAAGGTTCTTCACAAGGTCAAGAGAGCAGTGAAGAAGGCAGAGGGCTTGAAGGCAGCACAGAAACCATTACCACCTGAGGACTATATGACGGTGGATGCGGTGGAGTGCTTCCTTCTTGGTTGTTTTACTGATATTCCCTACTGCATTGTTTGGGGAATATGTCAGAACTGTTTGCCTCTACTGATGCCTTAGCAATGTGGCTGTAGTAGGCAGAACAGAGGCATGAAGGAGGCAGGTGCCAGGAACCATGGCAGTATGGCTCACTGCTCCCCACTCTCCCATCCTTGTGGAGATTACTTGTCAGAACCACCACTAAACTGAACAACACATACAGGCTGGACTGTTTTGGTCAGGGACCTGAGCATAGCAACACAAAATATATTTTTTTTCCTGTGTATGATATTGTAAATGAAAAGAGTATTAAATTGATATAATTATTTACTCCTGATATCAAGATGATTGACAGTGGGCATGTTCTACATAAGAATCTAAGCTGGCTGGACACAGCATCTGGTGTGACCAATCAGCAGAAAGTGTAAATAGAACATTGTGGGCATGTGGTGTAACTCCTTAAACCAGAATACCTGATGCTAGCACAGGGGGGGGGGGGTTGTCTTGAAAGTGTAAGGTACAGTATACATCCAGGCTGTTTCCCAATTACAAGCTGATATCATCAACAGGCATAGGTTCCTGTAGCATGTGGAGCCCTCAAATAAGGTTGTAACAAACAAGATTCCATAAAAGAAAATATTGATTTTGGGAAATGAAAGTGTTGAAGTAATTGTTTGGTTGTAATTACCATTAATGTTGTCAGATTTATAATATGTATACAGTAGACCTCATTTATGTATCCTTTTTCTGCTACTGTTCCATAGTTTTCTTACCTCCATATCAGTAACCACATGCTACAGTTCCAAGTTGACTAAAGTATGAATTCCCATGGTAGGGATGTCTCGGTCAGCCTTTTCATAAAATGTTTGTTGTAATTTGTTTGAATATCATCATAAATGAGTCACCTGGTGTCAATTACGTTCCTAGTCCTTTGTGTTGCGGAATGCTGCTGCTGTCCTGCTGAGCGACTGTGGACCAACACCCGAATTCTGAAGTCACTACCTTAGGATAATTATACCTCTTTATGTAGGACCCGTCACCACACATTAAAAATTTAGCCAATCCAAGAATAATGTATACAGTATATGAGTCACTCAAGTACTTTCAAAATATCCCCAAATGTATCAGGATTGGGCCCTAAACCATCTACATTACCAGATTCTTACCTGATAATATGCTGTCTAAATAGATGTTAAAGTTTGTTTTTTTAAGACTGTTCAGTATACATTGTATAAATAAAGATGTTCATTCTTGTCTCAAGAAATATCTTGTTTACAAATATAAATGTCTTGAAAATATAGTCAATGTTCTTTACTGTTACCCCAGAGCAGTAGAGACACCCAGAGCCTATATTATGGTGACCCCATTCAAGTGGGCCGAGCAAAGTTTAGGTGGTGGTGCGGATGATTCATGTCACCCATCATTAAGGCAACCTCAGGTCAAAGGAGAGTGATACACTCATGATCCCAGTGTGACCTTGCCTGGTCTGGGGCTGACCTGGTGACTAGCAGTGTGTAGGGATAGGGGACCAGTGACGATAGGCATTCCCACGTGACATGTTCCCACTCTGCCCTACTGGTTGTCAGGAGCTTGTCATCCTGTCGCAAAAAAGGGTGTTTGTTCTCTTGTTCATTTGTATGTACATATCTTTGTTGCCCAAATATTGTGGGTATACAGTAAACACATTACCACAAAAAGTGATCATTTGTAAATTGTAATAATGTTATTGTATAACCACTCAGCATAATGGCTACATTATGCACTTGGGCTGCACTATACATAGTGCACTCTAAGTGCATAAGTAATGAAAGGCAAGTAATAATATCTACATTATGCACTAAAGCTACACTTCACATAGTGTAGTGTATGTGCATAAGTAATAAAATGTAAGTAATAATGTCTACATTATGCACTATACATAGGTCAACCTAAGTGCATAAGTAATAAAATGGCTTAAAAGAATGTGTATAGTTTTAATTTACATTATATCCTCTTATGAACATATTTCTCAGCAAAGGATCTGAACTACTGGGCCTGACACTTAAATGCTCTGGAATGTAGACAAATTAAAAATGTCAATACAAATTGTGCACACTGATGTAACAGCTTGCAGGAAATGAAGGTGTAGCAAAAATCCAAGAAAAAGTAGGAGGTATCAAGCAAGACTGCTGATTATTATTTCATTCCTGGGAAGTGCCAAATCTTTGGGGGTCATATAGCATCTGGGTGAATGGGAAGGCAGGTCCAATTCCTTGGATCAAGAGCCCTTGCTGGCATCAAGGAACCTCCCTTTGAAAGGTAAACATTGTTTATAGGATGTATGTATGTATTGGTTTGGTCATTAGAGAGAATGGATCAAAGTAGAATGACATGGAGAGCATATAAATCTGTAGGGAAAGGAAGGAGGGGTAGGGGGTCTTGGACTTCCAGCAAGCCTGTGCGAGTGTGTTAGATAGGAATGAATGGAGACGAGTGGTATTTGGGACCTGACGAGCTGTTGGAGTGTGAGCAGGGTAATATTTAGTGAAGGGATTCAGGGAAACCGGTTATTTTTATATAGCTGGACTTGAGGCCTGGAAATGGGAAGTACAATACCTGCACTTTAAAGGAGGGGTTTGGGATATTGGCAGTTTGGAGGGATATGTTGTGTATCTTTATACGTATATACTTCTAAACTCTTGTATTCTGAGCACCTCTGCAAAAAGAGTGATTATGTGTGAGTGAGGTGAAAGTGTTGAATGATAGTGAAACTATTTTCTTTATGGTAATTTTTTTTCTTTCTTTTTAGTCACCCTGCCTTGGAGACGACCGACTTATTAAAAAAAAAAAAGTATTTATTGAGGAGGTAATTATAATATTCCTAAAAGCAGTTATATTTGGCATGAATTACGTTCACTCAGCTAGACTAACCCTCTGACTGTTTCGGCCATATATATACGTCTAATGAGCCAGTGTTTCGGACGTATGTAGTATACTCAATTCTAGTGGCTTCAAATTAAGCAGGAGAAAGCTGGTAGGCCCACATGTGAGAGAATGGGTCTGTGTGGTCAGTATGCACTGTATAAAAAAATCCTGCAGCATGCAGTGCAAAATGAGAAAAAAAATGACTTTTTTGGATTAAAATGCCAACTTAGAGGTGTATTTTTGTATAGTATTTATGGTTGTATTCTCATTTTTATGGTCTCCTTTGATAGAATGGAAAACATTACAGAAGTAGTGGTGATTTTGATTAGTTTCACAATGAAAATGACCTTGAAATCGAGCTCAAAATAGCGGAAATGTTTGATTTTTACCTATGTTCAAGTGTAAACAAATCACACCACACGTCCACTACACATCAACTGGGGAGTCTATTCTTTCACTAGTGCACTGATATTATTTATACCATTTTTACAATATGGCAGTAGTCTGCAATACAGTAAATCTATTTTTTGTGTGAATAAAAAATAAAAATGAAGAAGAGTAATAAAGAGGGGCCTGGAGACATGACTAATAAACAGAGGATGTTATTTTAGTGCCAAGAATGTCTGCATTGTTTATTCTGGACCCTATTTTGAAATTGATATCTTTTTTAATTTGCATAAAATTGGCAAAATTGCCAATTTCTGACCACTATTGGGTAGTTAAAATTGGTAAATGGGCAGTTTCTTGTACTCAATTGATAGAAAAAATGGAGTTCTAAAGAAATTGCTATGGGTTTGGTCAACTGTAAAAATGGAATTGGCTGAAAATAGGGACCAAAGTCGGCGAAATCGCCAATGCGTATGTATTGCCGAGATCACTAACTTTGCAGGAGCATAATTCCGTAAGTTTTCTATCAAATTTCATACTTTTGGTGTCATTACCATCAGGAAAAGATTCTCTATCATTTCATAAGAAATTTTTTTTTTTCAAATATTTTTTGACAATGACAGTTTCAGAAATGGGCTTGCAACAGTCAAAGGGGTAATGCATATTTTTTTTTTAACACATTGGCTGTTTCCGATCAAGGCAGGATGGCCCAAAAAAGACGAACTTTCATCATTCACTCCATCACTGTCTTGCCAGAGGCATGCTTACACTACAGTTATAAAACTGCAACATGAACACCCCTCCAGAGTGCTGGCACTGTACTTTCCATCTCCAGGAATCAAGTCCAGCCTGTCAGTTCCCCTGAATCCCTTCGTACATGTTACCTTGCTTACACTCCAGCACATCAAGTCCTAAACACCACTCGTCTCCATTTGCTCCTAGCACACTCATGCACGCTTGCTGGAAGTCCAAGCCCCTCACATACAAAACCTTTACCTCCTCCCTCCAACCTTTCCTAGGCTGACCCCTACCCTGCCTTCCCTCCACTACAGATTTATACACTCTCGAAGTCATTCTATTTCGTTCCACCCTGTCTACATGTCCAAACCATCTCAATGACCCCTCCTCAGCCCTCTGGATAACAGTTTTGGTAATCCCGCACCTCCTCCTAATCTCCAAACTACGGATTCTCTGCATTATATTCACACCACATATTGCCCTCAGCTATGACATCTCCACTGCCTCCAGCCTTCTTGTTACAACATTCACCACCCATGCCTCACACCCATATAAGAGCATTGGTAAAACTATACTTCCATACATTTTCCTCTTTGCTTTCATGGACACAGTGCTTTGTCTCCAAAGACTCCTCAGTGCACCACTCGCCTTTTTTTCCTCATCGATTCTGTGACTCGCCTCAGCTTTCATAGACCCATCTGCTGACACGTCCACTCCCAAATATTTGAATACAATCACCTTCTCCATACTCTCTCCATCCAATCTGATTACCAATCTTCCATTACCTAAATTTTTGGTTATCCTCATCACTTTACTCTTTCCTACATTCACTTTTAATTTCCTCCTTTTACATACCCTACCAAATTCATCAACCAACCTATGCAACTTCTTTTCAGAATCTCCCAAAAGCCAACACCCGAGCATTCACTTCTCTTACAACTCCATTTATAAATATATTGAACAACCATGGTGACATCACGCATCCCTGTCTAAGGCTTAGTTTTACTGGGAAATAATTATCGCCTGCATACTCTAACCTGAACCTTATTATCCTTGTAAAGACTCCTCACTGCTTTAAATAACCTACCTCCTATTCCATACATTTGCAACATCTGCCACATTGCCTCCCTATCCACCTTATACACCTTTCCATATCCATAAATGCCACAAAAACCTCTTTACCCTTATCTAAATACTGTTCACCTATATGTTTCATTGCAAACACTTGGTCTACACACCACCTTCCCTTCCTAAAGCCTCCTTGTTCATCTGTTACCCTGCTCTCCATCTTACTCTTAATTCTTTCAATAATAACTGTACCATACATATTACAGGTATATTCAGACTTATTCCCTTATAATTTTTACACATTTTTGTCCCCATTGCCTCTATACAAAGGAACTATACATACTCTCTGCCATCTAGGTACCTTACCCTCTTCCATACATTTATTAAATAAAAGCACTAACCTCTCGAAAACTATATCCCCACCTGCTTTTAACATTTCTATCTTTATCCCATCAATCCCAGCTGCTTTACCCCTTTTCATTCTACCCACTGCTCCAAGCACTTCCCCCACACTTACAACTGGTTCTTCCTCACTCCTATAAGATGTTATTCCTCCTTGCCCTGTACATGAAATCACAGCTTCCCTATCTTCATCAACATTTAACAATTCCTCAAAATATTCCTACCATCTTCCCGACAACTAACTCTCCATTTGATAACTCTCCTATTTTTAACTAACAAATCCATTTGTCCCCTAGGCTTTCTCAACTTTTAATCTCACTTTAAAACTTTTTCTTATTTTGAACAAAATTTGTTTATAACATCTCGCACACATATTTGCTCTCTTTTTACATTGCTTCACCACTCTCAACATCTCTCTTTCCATATACTCCTCCCTCCTTTCATCACTTACTTTGTGAAAACCTCTCATATGCTAACTTTTTCTCTTACTACTCTCTTCACATCATTCCACCAATCGCTCTTCTTCCTTCCTGCACCGTCTCCTGTAACCACAAACTTCTGCTTACCCCATACATTTTCTACCCCATTCTAGCCCATCTGTCCTCCAACAGTTGTTTATATCTTACCCTAACTGCCTCCTCCTTTAGTTTATAAACCTTCACCTCTCTTGCTGCTTCCATTTTCCCTGTATCCCATGTACCTTTTACTCTCTCACTAGCTACAACTAAAAAGTGATGTATCTGTGGCCCCTCTATAAACATGTACATCCTCAAGGCTACCCAACAGTCGTATCTACCAATATGTAGTCCAACAAACTACTGTCATTATGCCCTATATCATATCTTGTATACTTATTTATCCTCTTTTTCTTAATATATGTTACCTATAATCAAACCCCTTTTTATACAAAGTTCAATCAAATGTTCTCCATTATCATTTACACTTAGCACCCCAAACTTACCTACCACACCCTCTCTAAATGCATCTCCTACTTTAGCATTTAGGTCCCCTATCACAATTACTCTCACTTGGTTCAAAAGTTCCTAACACTCCCTTAACATCTCCCAAAATCTCTCTCTCTCCTCTACACTTCTTTCTTCTCCAGGTGCTTACACACTTATGACCCACTTTTCACATCTGACCCTTACTTTAATCTACATAATCTTGAATTTATACATTTATATTCCCTCTTCTTCCATAACTGATCCTTCAACATTACTGCTACCCCTTCCTTAGCTCTAACTCTCTCAGATACTAATGACTTAATCCCATTTATTTTTCCACACAAACTCCCCTACCCCCTACACCTTTGTTTCGCTTAGGGCTAGGACATCCAACTTCTTTTCCTTCATAACATTAGCAATCATTTCTTATCACCTGCACCACATCCATGTACATTCCAACATCCCAATTTTATAAAGTTTTTCTGTTCCTTATTTATTTTACTTGCATGACCCTTCAAG